GGGCAGTGTATCTGCAGTGCCTGGCTGAGCTTCCCAAAGACGCTTCCTCCTATTCCCAGCATCACTGTGATGCCCATGCTACCCTGTCTGATGCACAGCCTCCTGCCTTGTCTGGCAGGACCTTCCCCTCACAGCTGTTAAACACAGATTCAGGACCATATGGATCACCTGGCAGGACAGGATTTATCATCAAAGACAATTACCCAATGCTTTGACGCAGCAAGTCAAACCTGATGTGATGTTTCCCCCTTGGAAGAAGGGATGGAGTCAGACATGCCCAGGAGGACACAGATGTTGGGCCCTTCATGAAAGAGGAGCAAGACCTTTAACCAGGAAGAAGCTCCTTGCCATCCACTCAACTTTGTTATCCGTGTCTGTCCTTCATGAAGGGAATCACCATAAGTCCTTCAGCAAGTCCTTGACTGCAAAGGGATGTGCTGTGCCTCCCTGGGCATCTCCTGCCTGTGTTAAGCACAGCAGGCGACAGTCTCATATTTAATGTTTAGAATGCCATCAAAGAGCTGCAGATGGAGAAGAGTTTGCAGCCAACCAGGGCTCATGGAGTAACTCTAGAAGAAACCCTTCCACCTGTTCCAGGCTGAGGTTAGGGAAGGACATACCCCATGCATACACAACGCAATCCCCACGTAGTCTTGCCGGCATCATTGCCCACAGGCGTGTTTTTGTGACAGGATGGTATGAGGTGTGAGGTTGCGATAGGTCTGGATGTATAAAAGAAAGATGCACCCTGTGTTTAGTGTGAAGGGTGACGTTGTTTCCTAGAATGACTCAGTTTCTTATCTGATCTGGCTTGTGCTGAATTCAGTGCTTCATATAAAGATGGAGGTGACTGCTTGTTCAAAAGGTTACGATGGTGGCTGTCACACCTTGAAGAGTCCCTGGCATTGATTTATTGCAGTTCTGATTTCATAGTGCTGCCTTGCAGCATCTGGGGGGAAACTATAGATTTGGCTGAAAAGGGAGGGAGCCTTTTAAAGTTTAATTCTAGCTGCTGGTCTTACTGTGAGGCTTTTGTCTCTCCTGAGGCCCTGCTGTGCTAACCCAGCATATAGATAAGTCACAAGAAGGTTTTTATGCAGACTATGTGGAGAATTAATGTCTTCTCTGAGGGTCCGAATTCTAATTTCTGATGTGAAGTATTGAATCTCCAAGCCTGGGCCTGGGCCTGGGCCTGGGCCTGTCTTGGGCACAGATTTGGAATAATAAGCCCTTGGTTAGTAATATTTGGGTAAATGTCCTGCGTAATGCCTATGGGTAACCTGTGGTCAGCACTGTGTCTGCCCATGCTGCCTTGTGCCAATCGAGGTGTATACATTGGATTCACCTGTGCTTTTCCCTGCAGGATCACTTTGGGCACACTAGTGAGGGGGGGTCAGTACTCTGCCCCAAGCTAAAATGTTCTGTCCTTAATTTGTCCTTAATTTCTTCTTAATGACCAAAGTCCCCTCCATGCTCCCCTGTCTCCTTACACATTTTAATGTTTTCTTTTCTCTGTAATAGGGAATGTGGATGATGACAGAGGTGTTTTACTGTGTGGGGAGGACCCAGTGTAGTTGCAATCAGACTTCTCTGAAATTGGAAACTAAAAAATAATAACTGTGTTCTTTTTTGGGGACCAAATTGGAGGCATCCAGGTGCCACTGAAAGCTCTGCTTGCCCCTCTCAGAGACCTTGCTGCAGTGGGATGCAGTGATTCAGTGAGCACAGGGCTGAGGGGCTCATGCTCCCATCCCTGCTGCTCCATCCCGTCCCCTGTGCCTGCTGCTTCACATAGGGCTTGGCTTTGTAGCTCCCTGTCAAGAGACTTGGGCAAGTACCTCGGAAGTCAGATGTCCTTACTCTATTTAAGCACCAGACTTAATCTGATGTATTTATATCTCTAGCAATTTGGAGGTGGGGCAGGTGGGTTATTTTCCCAACATGATCCTTGGTGTTTTTCCCACAGGGTGTCTCTCTATGATTGCTTTCGTTACCTAGTGGTTGTTATTGTTAAGATTCCATCATCTGACCCTTTATAATCCCCATATTGCATTACAGTGCATTGCTGGACATGCTTGGTGTATGCTAGTCTTTGCCAATTTTAGACTGCCCCATCAAACCTATGAGTTTCTCAAAAGCAATGCAAGGCTATGTTACACAGGCTCCTTCCAGTTAATACCTTGGCACTTGGAAATGCTATGCATTGGTAGTAAAGGAGAATAAATATATGGGTTTTATAAGCAGAAAAAATAAAGCTGACATTATAGAAATTGTTCTCAAGCATTTGGCATCAGCATGTGTCCCATGTGTTAGCTTAAATATACAACATGGTTTAGGCACTGAAAGCATGGCTTGCTGTCCTGCTTTGTGTCAACTGATGACACTGCGGTCTGCCTCTCTTGATATTTGAGTTAAAACGTTGACAACCCTTTTGCTTTTGAGAGAAACAGGTGAAGTTTTGAAGAAAATGCATAAATGAGAGAAATCAATGAGGTGAGACAATCCTGCATGAGAGCCTGCTGGGTTTCATGCTAGAGTTCATCTGTACCTGCTTTAGAAACAGTAAGCCGCGAGTTTGAATTGTTCATTCCCAAGGGCAGACCTTTCCTTCTACCAGTTTGCTCCTAAAGTGCTTTTATTTAACACTTGTTAGGTACCCATTTAGCATGGTTTTCCAGCTGCTACCCATAGGAATCTCTTTGTGATCGCTGTTCAAGTACCTCTTGTCTTCTGCTTGTGGTTTGAGTGTGGCTGCTGGCACGGCTCTCTGCTGTTTGGTAACAGAGAACCTCATGCAGTAGCTTATTAGTCTGGATATTCCTGAGCAAGTGTCTAATTGGTGTGAAAAAGCAAGTGCTACTGATGGAAGTGGCTTTCCTGTTCTAGTGAAGGCTGAGGAGTGAGTGATTGTTTTGGAAAGCTCCAAGGGGAACACCCGCAAAAGTTACTGGGAAGAACATGCGAGTTTTGCCTTGGAGAAGACTTCTACATTGAGCCGTGTGTCCCAAGCCTGATGGTGTTGTTTGTTGCTGTAATGTTCCATTTCCAGTGTGCCAAAACACTACACAGCATGTTAGAAAAGGAAGTGAATCCTGAACCTGAGGTTAATTTATGGAAGAGAAACCTAAAGTAGGCAGAATGTGATACCCACCTTGGAAATCTGTGGGATTAGCACCTTTGTCACCAGGAGAGGTGCCACCAGGCAATCCTTCAGCTTTGCATCTGACGGAGTAGGCATTGCTCCAGCAGTGTAGTATTTCCTCATCATGGTATTGACAAGTGATATATTTCTAGTTAGAAGAAAACCTGCTTTTCAAATACCTGATGATGTTCTCAGTATCTGTGTTTTCCTTCCCAAGTGAACTTTCATGGGCTTAGCCCTACATAACTTAGCAGATCTGACAAGACCAAGGCCCAAGATGGCCTGGCTGAAGATCATGGAAACACAAGAAGGTGGCCAAAGGCTTTATTTACAGTCAAGAAATTAGCAAGTGATAAGTAACCGCTGAATAGCCAGCTTCTGTGATCCAAACAGCATCACTTGGGAGAATAACATAGCAGCTACTGAAGAGCACTGATTTATTTGATAACATCAGGAAACCATTTATGGACTCTATCATGGACTGCAATCACTGGGGTTAAATCTGCTAGACCAGCTAGATTGATGTGTGGGTCTGCTGTTGTGCTTGCTACTGCTTAATATAAAATAAGGATGTCCCTTGAAATACCAAAGGGGCAAATGGAGCCAGTACATTATTGGCTTGGCTTTTTGTTATATTTTCCTTCGCCACGTATTTCCTTCCAAGAGTCTTGCTCTCTTCCCTGATGTGTGATAGCATTAATTAAATGAGGGCCTTTGGATAATGGCTTTTTAATAGAGTTGAACAGGGCTTTGAACACCATACTTCTTGTTACAAAACACAGCATAGAGAATCCATCCTCATGCAGAGACTATTTTGCTGCTGGCAGACTCCAGTGGAACATGGTTGAAGCTGTAATGAGAAATATGGCTTAAAAATTGGTGGGGCTTGGTTTCACAGCCTCTCCTCTGTGGTTTGTTTTTTTTTCCTGTGAAAGATGCCTTTGATTTGATACCCACTGCAAGAATACTTGAAATTATAAGAGGAAATTTTCCTGATGCAATGAGCAGCCCAAGCTGTGGTGTACTGAAACTGCACCATGGTGGAAAAATTACCTGTCCTGCTACTGTGCTTTTACAAAGCAGCCATGAGCACAGTGGAGATTTGGCTTTCTGCATTGATACATAGATTTAGAAGCCAATGAAATATTCTGAACAAAGAAGGAGGTACTTCTTAGGTGGAATGGATACTTAATGAAGAAATGGCCTTCAGGTAATCTGTAGTTGCAGCAGTTCTAAGAATATTAGTAAATCTTTGTAGTTGCTTATTCTGTAACACAATGGTAGAAAGTGGGAAAAGGATGAACCTGAGCTGAACTGTCAGCCAAGATCTCTTGACAGTGAAAATAACATCCATGACAGAGGCAGACCACTCAAGAAACAGGGTACTGGCATTGCCTCTGGGCAGAGTGTATGGGAGCAGACCAGAGATGTGCTATGGGAAATCCCATGGGGGAATGCTGCCTAGGGGACTGCTCAGGTTGGTTCAAAGGGCTGGTTCCCATCCCCACATGGACTCCTGTCCCAAGCACAAGGTGTGTGTTTTACTGACTGTTCACCCTTTTTCCACCTTGGAGGATTTTACCTGGTGTTGGCTGCATCACACCAAAACCATCTGCAACATTAGAATCATAGAATAGTTAGGGTTGGAAAGGACCTTAAGATCATCCAGTTCCAACCCCCCTGCCATGGGCAGGGACACCTCACACTAAATCATCTCACCCAAGGCTTCGTCCAACCTGGCCTTGAACACCACCAGGGATGGAGCATTCACAACTTCCCTGGGCAACCCATTCCAGTGCCTCACCACCTTTACAGTGAAGAACTTCTTCCTTATATCCAATCTAAATCTAAGACCTCGCTAAAGGCAGTGAAGAGCCTGCATTCCTTTTTAAGATATCCAAGACATCATGGACACAAAGACCTTGTGCTCATTCTTCCCATGGTTCAGGATTTCAGCCACACACCTCATAGGTACCATTAATGTCATTCCACCCTCCCTTTGCAATCCAAGTGCGGATGAGGCACTCAAAGGCTTAGTGCCCCAGGAATCCTCTAGAAAATGGCCATCCCCTGCCTTACTCAATGGGGGACTCACCAGCTGCACTGAAATGTCAGAAGGGTTTGCACAGCTGACAGGTTGCTGAAAATGGAGCATCGCCATAAATTCCCTTCATCCAGCCAAGTGCAGCTTAATATAGACTTAGCTGCACGGTCTGTCTCCCACACAGAGACTGAGAGCTGCCACCGCTCATGACCAAAGCATGAAGTTGTTGATTTAACCAAATGAACTACTGCTAGTGAGGGGGGAAAAGAAAATATTCCTTTAAAATCAATCTTTCTCTTCAGGTTTGAGAAGTAATAGAGGAAGGAGAGAAGAATAACATGTCTGCACTCAGGCAAAACTCTGATGATGAACAAGTGTGTACTGAGGACATTGATGAAGATGAAATCCTGGCAAACCTGTCCCCTGAGGAGCTAAAGGAGCTGCAGTGTGAGATGGAAGTTATGGCCCCAGACCCCGAAGTCCCAACTGGGATGATACAGAGGGATCAGACGGAGAAACCGCCAACGGGAAGCTTTGACCACAGGTCCCTGGTTGACTACCTGTACTGGCAGAAGGCATCCAGACGCATGCTTGAGGATGAGAGAGTTCCTGTCACCCTCTTGCCCTCTGAGGTAACAAACAAAAATCACTAATACTTATTATGCATCTGCTGTGGGATCTGGTTTATAGTTTTAATACCTTAACCTGCCTCTGCTTCCATCCCTTATGTAAAGTACGGTACAAATTGAAATTAATCCTAAAAGCCTCAGTGATGTCAGCATCCAGCTTGGGCTGACATCAGGATTAGTAATTTTTTAATTGCTTTTCATGAATACTTACTTAAGCTTTTTAGTATAAGGAAATCCTAATTCTGTTGCAGTAAAGCAAATCACTGTGAAATTGTCATAAAATCAAGTTTGGAGGATGTAACTGTGTGTATGGAGCAGCACCATACTGCTTTTCCATAGAAGACTAAATTAATTATATGTATTTAATTAATTAACAGGATTTAATGTCATAGTGGACAAAACTCCAGGACTGTGTGTTTTAACTCGAGTCAGCCCAACCCTTTTCGACACAGTACTTAGACTTATTCTACTATCCCTATGACTTTGAAATAAAGTTCTAAGGTCACACTTAGATGTTTTTCAGGATGAGGGCCTCACTTAAAAATAGGTTTATAGGATGGAAGCTTGGCCAGATGAAACGTAGCCATCCCTAAACCCAAGTGAATCTGGGGTAACTGATCTTAATATTTATTTTGTTTTTAAACTCTAGTAGCTTTGCTATTGCACAACAGCACATCACGGACTTCCCAGGGCAGGTTTCATGGGCTGTCTTTGGACAAGGTGGGAAATCTGAGGGTTTTTCCCTCCTGCAACACTCTTTTGCCCTCAAAGAGGGTAAAACTCAGTTACCCTCAAAGAGACAATACTTTTCTAACACTTTTGGGGTTAAATCTGGAATTCGAGTGTAGAGCTGCAACTGGTCAAGCAATCCCCATACTAAACCCCTCCACTGCTGCAGCAAGCAGGAACCGCAGCCCTGAGGGCAGGAGTGGCTTGTGACTGTTTTGTCTGACTTGGTGAAGTGCAAGCTGTGACACTGCCCTGCCTGAAGTAGTGCAAATCTCTTACAGAAATATCTTGATCTATATCAGTGCTTTATTGGCATTTCTCAGTGATAGAAGAACCACATGCGAAAAGATGCTTAAAAAGAAATCTCAGCCAGGAGGGTCTGTGGAGACGTTTGCAATTGACGTTATTTTGATGCTGTAAGCCCCATTGCCTTGCAGCAGCTGTGTGCAGAGTCCAGTTTCCCATCTCTGAGCTAATATTTTGCTTTATCTACAGTGACATGCTTCCTCAGTTGTGATGCTCTGGCAGGTACTAGAGCGGGCGGCTTTGTTGTCTCACGTGCTGGGTGACTCCACTGTCATTTACAATGTGCCCTCTTGGCTCCTCCTGGGGCTGGGCAAACAGTCAGCGGTTAACACTGATTTCCAGTGGTTTGTGGCATTTGAAATAAACTTTATCAAGGCAAACGTAAAAATTACACAAAATCCAGAAAGATACTTTAGATGAAAGACTCCTAACCCCCAGAAGGGCTCAAGGACCACCTTAATATACCATTAAATACATATAGGATTTAATTGTCAGGATTTAATTTTATAGGCAAAGACGAGAAACTGGTTTGTGGCCACTTTAACAGCAATCATTCTTGTGTTCCCAAGCAAGCCAGACAGCCCTGACTTACAGGCAATGGCACTTTTAAGGATTATTCTATAACGTATGGGCATAGAGGCGTCTAAATCCAGCCACTACATGTTTGCTTGAGCAGAAAGGTAACGTAACAAAGCTGCGTTTGACTGTTTAAGCTGTGAGGTTTTGTCTTCCTAGAGAAGCGCTGCAGAAGAGGTGGAAGGAGAGGATGGAGGCAGCAGCAGGAGGGTGCCAGGAGCAGAGGGACAAGAGAGACATTACAAAAATGAGCACTTGTCCAACTCGGGAACACAATCTTGGGAGACAAAGAGGGATGGGAGTGATGTGGAGAGAGAGAAGGAGGAAGAGGATGAAGAAGAGGAGGAAGATGATGATGAAGAGGAGGAGGAGGAAGAGGATGAAGAGGAAGATGAGACCGAATTGGAAACAAAGGAAACTCACACCAGTGAGAACAGTCACAGTAACCAGATAAGTAAGAAACCAGGCACAGAATCAGGAGAAGGCACAGAAAAGCCAAGTGAAAAGAAGATATCAAAATCAAACATCCCCCAAAAGTTAGCTCTGGATACCAGCTTCATGAAGATAAGTGCCAGGCCTTCAGGAAACCAAACCAATTTAGAAGATAGTCTGGAGAAAGTCCGAAAAAACAACCCAGACATGAAGGAGCTCAACCTGAACAACATAGAAAACATCCCCAAAGAAATGCTGATAGACTTTGTCAATGCCATGAAAAAGAATAAGAACATAAAAACATTCAGCTTGGCCAACGTGGGGGCTGACGACAACGTGGCTTTCGCACTGGCCAACATGCTGCGGGAGAACAGGAGCATCACCACGCTGAACATTGATTCCAACTTCATCTCTGGCAAAGGGATCGTTGCCATCATGAGGTGCCTGCAGTACAACGAGACGCTGACGGAGCTCCGCTTTCACAACCAGAGGAGCATGCTGGGCCACCAGGCAGAAATGGAGATCGCCAGGCTGCTGAAAGCCAATGCCACCCTCCTCAAAATGGGGTATCACTTCGAGCTGCCGGGGCCCAGGATGGTGGTGACCAACCTGCTCAGCAGAAACCTGGACAAGCAGAGGCAAAAGAGGCAAGAAGAGCAAAGGCAGCAGCAAATGAAAGAGCAGAGAGAGTTGATAGCGATGCTGGAAAATGGACTTGGGTTGCCTCCAGGAATGTGGGAGATGCTGGGGGGACCACTGCCGCAGCTGAGGATGCAAGAACCCCCGCAAGCCCCGAAACCATCCGACCCCATGGCTATGTCTCTGAACAAAAGGCAGGAGAGCACGAGGCAGCCAGCCCCCGAGCAGCCACGCAGGGAGAAGCCTGTTGAATTCAGAGTGGTCAAGCTGAAGAAGATTCAGCGCAAGCCTGCTGTGCCGGACTATGTGGAACCCACCGAGAAAACCAACCTCAAAGACGTCATCAAAACGCTTAAACCAGTCCCCAGGAGAAGGCCACCTCCCCTGGTGGAAATAACCCCAAGAGATCAGCTGCTAAACGACATTCGTCAGAGCAACGTCGCTTATCTTAAACCGGTAAGCGCTTGGTGATGGTGGTGATGGAGGGAGTTGCGATCGCCCAGCACGCTCCAGAGCTGCTGTTTGACATGTTGGCCATTCAGTGGGGTGTGCAAGCTTACCTGTGCACTGTGTGTCGTCATCCTTCTGCATGAGGCTGCCAGTCCTGGGTGCAGGGTGTTTTTTCCCTTTGGTAGCACAAAGGTATGGCTTGCACAGAGAAATGACAGCAAGAGCCAAGGCTCCAGCCTTGCACATCCCTGTCCGCATCCATGAAGGTAAAAGAAAGGAGATTCACTCAGGAGGTAAATAAAACCACAGAAACTCACTGTTAGCCTATTAGTTATGACAGGCAAATGCTATTGTAAGATGTTTGTTTCAGGAGAGCATCCGGTATGATTGTCCCCCATAAACCCCATGTTTCTCTTTTCAGTAGCACCATCATTTGTCCCATTTAATGAAGGGTGAACAGAAACACTGGCAGCGATGTAATTTACCAGGGATCACGCTCCTTTGGTGCTGTCACAAACCAGGCCAAGGCTGTGGGAAGGGTCTGTGTTACAGTTGTGGTCTGTGACTGCCTTCATTTGATTTGGTTTAAATGAAATTAAAGCCTTTTGTGTGAGGAGGGATTTAATACATATTTTTAAAATTATTTTCATTCTCTAGAGCTACTTTCTATAACAGTGATAATGCACAAACCCTTGCTACAACAAATTTTCATGTTTGAGCCTTTTTGAGTTTTAACAAGTGTAAGTTAAAGATGCTTTTTCTCTGCTGCCTGAACATGTAACACATTTTTACAGTTGCCTAAAACCATTTCTGGTAAAATAGTTGATCCTCTAAAATACAGCTTGCTGGCAAAAGGTACCAATTGTATCCGGAAAGGGTCTGAAATCTGGCTTAGCCACATAGCTTGGGGACTTGCTCCCACCTGCCTCACCTGGTATCAAGGAGTGTGTTATTTTAGTGACCCTCTATTTAAATCAACTGCACAATTCTAATGCTAATAAGAAAAAAAAGTTAGATCCATTAGCAGTGAAGATGCAGCAAGGTTGTAAGAAGAAAGTACCACAGGGTTTTTTGTGTTTCAAGTAAATCTTTGCCACTCAAAGCGCTCAGTAGTCATAACTCAAGAGCAAATGTGAGCTCGTGGCTTTGAGAATCCAAGTCCGTAACTGTGATAACTGCCCCTTGGTGATGCTCCTGCTTGAGTACCAAATTCATGGGCCACTTCTCCAAATGCTGGCCACCAGATTTAACCTTTTGCTTTTCTTAAATGTTGTATTTCTTTGCCTTTTACCTTTATTCAAGTAATACTGAAAGCCGAGTGATGTATTTGTAGCTAGTGATGTTGATGCATCTGTTTGTGTTGCTAAGGCTAGAGGAAGAGGACAGAAAATCCTTTGCAATTAAAAGTGGTCAGTAGTCTATTGTAATTCATATTCTGTTTAATATGAACATTTTAATACAGTGAGTCACATTCTGCTTTCATCTATACCTACACAGAAACAATTATCCCCTCAGTGATTCCAGAGAGAGTAGATTATCCTGAAATTTCAGCAGGGGCAGGTCCTGCAGTGACCTCTGATGCTGGTCCAGGTTTAATGTGACCATTCTGCTGCCAAGCCAAGTTTTGGGGTTGTAGTTTTGCTGGCCAGCCCTGCAGCCAGGGCCTCTCCTCAGGGCACTTCTGGGCTTTCCAGGCCAATCTAGATTTTGCATTTCAGCCCCATGTCTAAGCCAACAAGACCTGCTCTTGTGAAGGTCATGGTTTCATCAGGGACTGTAGCGATAGGACAAGGGGTGATGGGTTTAAACTTAAACAGTGGAAGTTCAGGTTAGATATAAGGTAGAAGTTCCGTACTGTGAGAGTGGTGAGGCACTGGAGCAGCTTGCCCAAAGAAGTGCTAAATGCTCCATCCCTGGCAGTGTTCAAGGCCAGGCTGGACAGAGCCTTGGGCAACATGGTCTAGTGCGAGGCATCCCTGACCATGGCACGGGATTGGAACTGGATGATCTTAAGGTCTTTTCCAACCCAAACCATTCTATGATTTATTGGTGTGTGCCAAAATGGTGTGTGATGGGAGGCTGGTTCTTCATGGCCACAAGATCTGCTGCTGTTCGTTCCCTCAGGAAGATGGAAGATGATGGTGCTGATGCTCTGCTGGGCACAGCCCTCACTTTACACAGCAATGATTAAGAAACCCTCATGCTGAAATGTACAAGGGAGCAACAGTGAACCCCAGCTATGCCCCCCAAAATCCTCAGGAGGTTTTTATGAATGAGGGCTGTGGGGTTTGGGACAGAAGGATCAACTGATGCTGAATCCCAGAAGGGCCAGAGAACAACTGCTATCAGGGCAAATGGAAATACAAAGCGAGGGACACATGTTTGGGGTTGGGTTTTGATTGGTCATTTGTGGGGGTGGTTTTCTTTCTGGTCCCCTGTTATTGTGCCACATGGCTTGGATTTGGGGCATTAGGGTGTTATTCTCACCTGCCTGCATGATCTTGGTAACTCCTTATTTGCCTTAATATCCTCATCTTCATCTCTATAAAGGGATTTTAGTGGTTGAGCAGAGCTGGGTGTTTGGTTGCTCTGTGGTGGGACACATCACTTGCAAATTGATTTACCAGGCATCAAGCATTGCAAATAGCAAGTGGGGAATTACAAACAGAAATTCCCAACCAGAGCTCCTTGGAGCTCTCAGCTGTTCTATTTTGATCTTTTTACAGTTTCTGGAGGTTTCTGTTAAACTAATCTGGCTTGGGAAATAAGACTGTTAAATTTCCTCCTCCTAATATTTACTGTCATTGTCCAGGTGCCTCTGCCAAAGCAGCTGGAGTGAGAGACCAGATTGCCCTGAAGAAAACAAACTGGAATAAAGACTATTCAAGTTTTGCTTACAACTGTTTCAGCAGATGTTTTCTGCAGAACCCAGGTGGTATATATGACTCTTTGGGAACAAAGCTTGTGATACATAACTTTCTAAGTGTGGTGAAAATGGCTGGCATGGGAAAAGTCAGTGCTAAGCATTTCCATCAGGTATCAAACAATCCCAGTGCCATCTGTCTGTCAAGTGGATTTGAGGCTCCAGTTTGTTGTGGGAGTATTTTCTCAGAGGCATCAATAACCTTGTCTTTCTAGATTGTCAGCAAACTGTTTTGCTTCCACGTTGTCCTGCTGCCAGATTCTGCAGGAATATGCTGTGTGCTTCATCTTATCTTTCTTTTCACAGACTTGCTCCTTTATTATTCTCTTGTCCGTGAGAAATGTTATTTGGTTTCCATGTATACAGCTCCATTTTTTAGTTAAGGAAACAGGAATGAAATAAAGCTCTCTGTAAGATGTGTGCAGCACTTCCATGGCTAACAAGGCACTCACAGAACAGAACAACTGCTCTCGTACATCAAACTCCTCAAGCTACCTCTATTTCAGAACATAGCCTAGTTGGCATTGTACCTGATCAGCATGTAAAAGGTGATGCTGTGCTCCGCTTTGAGAGCGGTAATCTTCACTCCCCACGATTCATCTTTGGCTGTGATGTATTCTTTAATTACAGCTGCCTTGGAGCACACTGAAATCCCACTTCAGGTCTCTCTCCACACTGCTCTTGTGGCACGAGGATGAGCCTCACCTCTCTTTGCCAGGGATGCAAGAAATTCCTCATTCCTCTTAGTACAGAGTGTGAATAGCATGTCTCACCCCTAGCAGGGCTGGATGAGTTGGGGGTTAAACCTTCATGTGCACAACTTGGTTTCTTCCTTAATGTTTTTTGTGATTTTTCTCCCCTTTTTTAATCGCTTTTTTTTTTGCTGCAAGCCTTGTTTGTAAAGCAGCTACAGGTAAGTCAAGTCACACATCCACAAGAGACCAGATGCTTTGGGAGTTTTTGTTTGTTTTTCTAAAGCTAAAAGGCACAGGGAAAGAACAAAGCCTTTCCCTTTGCTAACATGCAGCTCCCCTGCATTCCTGTGGCTGAAACACTTGCTAAAAGGTACAGCTTTGCAGGATTTCCTTCAGGGGAGTTTCTCCTGGCTCCTGCCTGTAACTCTCAGCAATCCCAGTCCCACCCTGCTTCCCCTTCCCAATTTATTGTACTAGTCCTGTCATACCAGCAATATCCAGGATCTCTTTGAACCCAAGGTAGTTCAGGTTTTCATTTATCCTTGTCCTTTCTGCATCTATCACCTGGTGTCTTGCAACTCTCCCTCTTCCCAGTTTGTAAAGCTCCTTCCGAGCTGTTTCTGTCTGCAACTGTAATGCCCCAGACTTGGGAAACCTGGTTAATGTATTGCCTAAGACATAGCTGGTGGTTTTAAAATATCACATAAGGGGACGGGGAAAGCTATTTCTGCATGGCAGAGACTTAAAAAAAGAAGTAGCATTTTCACTGGGCCCATTTCATCCAGCCATCTCTTGTTGTAAAGCATAAAAGTAGGAAAGGGAAGGAACTTGTTACTTCTAACCCCGGAGCACAGCAGCAAATGACAAGTGCAAAAACAGCTCTGCCAGAAAGCACTTTGAGCGTGCAGCTCTCCATACAGGCTTCAAGGGCAGGCTGAGACTCCAGCAGCCGGGACACGGAAGTACAAGGGAAAATATAACAGTGCTTCACAGTCTTCAACTCAAGCTGCCAGGTCCAGATGACTGCTACACCCAGGAGCAGCCATGCTGCAGAAGCTGACACATATTACCAGGGTACAGACAGGAAGTCCTGCTCTGATCCATGTTCTCCCACCGAGCAGCTTCTAGAGTGATCACAGGAGGAGGGAGGCAGCCAGATACAGAGATCACACTGCTAAGTCTGACTGCAGCAGAACAGGCCTCCTCATACTGCTTGTGGCACAGCTCCCAGTAATCCTAGAAGCAGAAATCCCTCTCAGGTAATTAAAAGCAATATAAAATCCCAGTTAATTAAGGTAGAGTTGTGTAAGAGACTGAAACAGCAAGAACAAATGTCTGAAGTACTCCACCTCTGTCGAGCAGCCTGCATAAGGATGCAAGAGCAAGGCCGTAACACTCCTGCAGCTCAGAGATGCCTTGTGCCTCAACGAAGTTAATATACAGGTCACTCAAAACCAGCAGCTTTAACCACAAGCACAGGCTTGAAGCACAAGCTGCAGGGTGACAGCACAACCACTCAGTGGAGTTCCACCAATCACAGCAACAGATCCAAGCTCAAGCTTCCACCCATTTTTCCCAACCTGAAATAAACACACTCAGTAATCACCATTAGAATTTATTTTTCTTCATAACTGTGTAGTTTTGAAAATTCTACAGTAATGAAGAAGTCAGGCTACTATGTTCTTGAAGTGTGGAAACAGTTTGCAATTAACAAAGACCATGCGCTACAAGTGAGGAACAGGCCATTGACTCTTCAGCTGGAATATACAGACATGTTCAATAAATACTGATCACTTTAACACTTAAATGGAATGACACGTTCAGATTTCTACACAGTTCACTATGAAAACAGCATGGTAAAGTTACAGAAAAGCTTCAACTTTAAGGATCCTGGTTTTCTTTGTTAAATTAATGACTCTGATTGATAGAAAAGAGAAATGCAAGATCATTTGAAATGAAGTGTCACCTGGACAACTTTCCCTCCCCATTGTTGGTAAGCTCCTGTTATCAAGATAATTTCCAGAGCTGGCAGTTAAGTTAAAATATATAAAAGAATCCCCCCCACCATTTTCAGTAGTTGTTGCAGGCAAATATATTCATGAATTTGGAATGGGTTTTCAAAAACCATATCTTGACATTTATTGCTTTTACTTGTAAACCTGAAATCCAGTTTATTCCTTTGAAGAGTGTCAGAAGTACAGAGTCAGCGAGATATATGTTTTACTTGTATCTTTGCATTCTGGTTAAGAAGAAAGAAAAAGACCCACACTCGAGAACACACATACACCTCCATCTACAGAATAGCCTATACAGACTAAAGCAGAACAAGGTAAGTCCTAAAGTAGCAGTATTTCAAAACATCAGTAGGGTAGAAACCCAGCTCATCCAACAAATCTGAAGCCTTTTTTCCTCTCCCATGCCTGGCCATAGTTTAGCTGGTATGTCAGGTGGTTTGGCTCTCCTGCAGAGAGGAGCAGCTTCTATAGATCCAGATTTCGGAGAGACAAGAGATGTGTTTTACTGGAACTGACAGAGGCACAGTGCCATGAATATTCTTCATGCTTAGATCTATTTAGGTTGTTTCCCAGCTGCTAAAGGAGGAATGTGAGCTGAGGGCAGGAATCCATTCTCGTTACAAGTACTTCATGGTTTTACCACCAGTTCACTAGCAATGTAGTCTCAATACAGACCACTCAAGTGAGGGATATGGAGGATGCAAGAGACCTACTTGAGACACTCCAGCTCACTTTAAGCATTGCCAGCTTGAAGGTGTTACCCAGCAAAAACTGCCTAAACTGCCAACTTGCAGATCTGAGGTGAAAAGGGTGTACTTTTAATAGACAAATTTGCTACAAGACAGTTGGAGAGACTGCATTCCATAGGTTTCTGTCTCTTCTTCTTCTACCCTCCAGAAGAAGAGACAAGCAAATGCTTTTAAGTTAGTATGTATTTGTGTAAACACCAGAACATTTTGCTATACAATAGAAAAAGACTGCTGCTTTTATGTTCTTAGAGGAGCCCTGAAGACATCGGAACACCTGTATCCTGCAATTATTAATCTGTACCACGTGCATTTCCTGTTTTGTACACAAACTGAAAGCAAGCTTGAACAATAGTAAATAGCAACTACACTCCTGCAACAGGTAAAAATGCTACGTTGCAGCTGCTTACTCCTTTGCTTTAGATATGTAGTCAGCCAGTTTGTTGATGCTATCCTCTTGCTGTTCTAGAGCATCCAGTATGATGCCCATCGGGGTCTTCTTCAAGCCTATTCCTTCCATCTTGTTCTCCAGCTTGTTCTTTATGTTCCGAAGCCTCAGAGAAGCATGGACAAACATCACTGCATGACAGAAACAATTATTAATAATTAATGCCCAAGGAATGCATAGTTCTTGCAGCACTGCAGCACTCCAGCACCATGATGGCACTGGAAGAAGAGGAAGTCTCAGTGACCACTTAAATAATCGCAGGTACCCACTTAATAATGACATTAAAGATGGCTTGTGCTGTTTTGCCTCCCTCCCTGCCCAGCTTTGTTTTGAGGTCATTTAAACAGAGGTAGTGAAGGCAACAGCCAATTTAAACTCTGCAGACTTAACTGAGAAAGCCCAAGTCACATCCCCTTAGGCCCCCAGAGCAGAAGAACACTTACAGAGGAGAGGAAGCGTGATCCCAAACATGAACACCATGACATCTCCCAGGTAGGAGATCAAGAAGTAGCTAGACAGCATAATGACCACTACAAATGAAGTTGGGTACTGCTTCTTCAGCTTGCGGAGGATATCCTTATTGTGCGATACCCACACAAACCCCATGAATACCAGCACCACCACAGTACCACCAATGAGCATATTCAGGGGACTCAGAAATCTGGAGAGGAGAAATAAGAAAACAGAAGTAAGTGTCTCATTTCGGAGCCTTCATGACCTGTGTTCATATAGCAAACATCTAGTTCACTGGTAACCTGTTACTAGGGAGGTAGGGCATTAGGAATTCAGTTGTTGCTGTCAAGACCTTTATCAGCATCTACTTTTTAGGCAGAAGCCAAATAAAGCAACAAGTGCAACTGATCAAGCAACCCTTAGCAGTGAATTTAGAAGTTTAGATAATATTTTGTCTTTATGTTCTCATCCTGAGCATAGCTGAGGATAATGACAGTTTCTGCAGCACCTCATTGATAGCAGCAATCACTACCAGGACCCCTCCTACCTGTGCAATCACTACATTCATTTGATATCAGACCCAGCAAATCCCAAGAGCAGATGGAGCCAACAATCAGCTTCCCAAGGGATTGCTCTGCCTACACATGACCAAAATCAGGCTCAGCCCAGACCTTCAGATGAACTAGCTTTTCAGATTATCTCATCTGGGTTTGCACAATAGGAAAAGTAGGGGAACATTGAGTAAAAAAAAAAAGTTACTTTACCATTTCTTATTTCTGAATAAGCCTTT